TTGCATTCCAATGCGTCTAACGGTTCCATCGCCATCGCCATCTCCATCTCCATCATCATGGTCATTATCATCGTCGCCCACTCCTTGGCTGGTCGTCACTTTCTAATTGACGTTTAGGGCTCATCTTGATTATGTATTGCCTCGTAGCTCTCCCTCCATAGACAGTTATAATTTTCTAAATTTTGCTTCTTCTCTTTCGCTTCGCGATTTCGCGATTTTTTCGTTTTGGTAATTGGCATTTCATTTTTGTTATTGAGGTTTTGGGATTTGGTGCCCTTTTATTTAATTAAATAAATTCATGTTTATTTGTGGCATTGTAGTTATAGATTTAAAAGCGTCTATATTTGAGATAATTGAACGTTTAGTTTTGATTTGAGCAGCTACTTTCCTAAAAGCACCATTTAGATAAGCATTGCAAGAGAATTATGGAATTTCAAAGAAATTTTTAATGAACTTGCTTCGCCCCTTTAGCCCTTTAGTTTGTGGAGATGTTTGAAATAGGATTGCATATAAATGCAACATATATTTATGTGTGTTATAAAGACTTGTAGCTCTTGAAGTACCCAAGAAATCTATTGATTGGTTTGTTCATTGATCCATAAAGCTCTTTACTATGACATTTGAAACATAAGATTGAATTAGATACATACACTTAGGCTCTTAAATCAAATAAGAACTGTTTCAAGGCTTATTTAAAGTAACAAATTCTATATTTAGGCAATTCTTTAAGTGTTGAAATATTCGGTTAAAATCCATTGAAGTACGCTTATTTACTCCAGGAGTTTCTTTTTTTTTAATTTCTTAGATATTAGTATTTCATTTTTATCTATTATTATCTATTATATTGATAAAAATGTTTCCCAGATGATTTGATCATATATTTTTCGATTTTTGGAATTCATATTACTGAAAGTTTTTTTGTAAGTACGTTAAAATAAATAGCTAAGTATATAGAAACTTTTACTAAACATATACCTAAAAAAGTCCAGCATGGCTACAGATTAATAATATAGTATCTATTTTCAAAAAGCTCTCACAAATGTAGGTTTGAAATTTATTTTGACTTACCTGAAGAAAGCGAAAAATACTTTACTTAAATTCTAGCCTAATCGGTCTAGATTTTTATCATAATTTCCCACAACTACTGTCATTAAGTAAAGCATCAGGCAGAGCACACTGGCAAACCCGATAAACAGTTCATGAGTTTCAAAAGACCTAAGAATTGTGTATTTTTGAGCTGGGCTAATAACTTAATACCAGTTCGGTCATATAAGATGTTATTCTTAGTTTTAACCGCTTGGCAATTATAAGGCTTTGTTTGTTTGTAGCTACCTTAAACGGCTTGAGTATACTCTTCTCAATTGTAAGGTAGGAGCATGATAATAACTTCTACTAATGCATGGGGAACCTTTAAAGCATCATGGTTAGCTGGTTATTATCAAAGGTGTACTTTTGCCTAAAAAAAAGTTCTCTGTCACATTAACAATTCAATAAAACTTTATTAACTTATACATGAATCATGTAGCAATTGAAGCCATTCCTTTTTTTTTTCTTTGTTTTTGAGGTAATATAACTTTTTTGCTTGGCGACACTTTCGCATTCCCACATGCCATATGCAGCCAATTGCCACATGCAACAAATATGCATGGCAACAACACCTCCCAGTCATGTGGCATATGGCATATGAAGGAGCTGGGATTAGAGACAGAAGCATTTGGTGGCAATTCGTTTGAGTGTTTTTCAGATGTTGGCTGCAAAAATTTGAAGCACATGTCCTGTCGCTGACAACAAACGGACGTGCCAGTGACAATTACCGAGCGAGAACTAAAAACAACAATTTCAAGTAGTAGCAACAAAAAACATCAAGGCAATTAAGTTAAATACTTGTATGCTTTTTTTTTGTGAGAGCTCAACAATGTCCTGCAGCAATGTGTTGCCACAGCGATGTCAACAAAAAGGCACTCTACTGTGTACTCGTACACTACATACTATATATATATATATATATGTATGTATGTGTGTGTTTGTGCAACCAAGCAAAAAGTTTCTGAAAAACTAAATAACAACAACAACTTAACAAAAGGTTATTGGTACACACAAAAAACGAACAGAAACACAAGTATTGTCAGCCAGAGAGAAGCAGCAAGAGGAAGCGAAGCGGCCATGGAAAGGGTCGCCTATAAATTACAACTACGAGTATAATTATATTTAATAACCTCAATTAACTTTGTAATAATGTCAATGGAAATGATGAGACAAAATATGATTACAAATAACACAAATACTCACATGATTATGGCAACAACAACAACAACAACAACAACAACAAGAACGCACACAACAATAGATATACAGTTAACAAATCATTGTCAACTAAGCTTAACTGGCAAGCAATGCGAAAATCCACATCCATTTACAACATTTTATCCGCTTATGAAGGAGATAATGATGAATTAGTACTGTAAGCTCCCAGCCGCACCCAAAAGCAAGTCCAGCCAAAGCTATGTATGCTCCTTGATGTATCAACGTGTCTCCGTCCATTTCTGTGTTTCCTATTCGTTCCCGCTCGCCGCATCCATAAACGACATACCCACTTCTGGATTTATGATTTTTATTGGTGTTTCAACAGCGCCCTAAACCCACCACCAGCACAACCACAACCACAGGCAGCACCACCACCAGCAGCGGTAAAGCAACACTCAGTCATCCATCGTATTTATTCATATCACTGACAGCATTTGGATTTACAATGGGTTCGGCTTTTCGCTTTTGTTGCCCGCTCTCTTGCCGGCTGTCCGATTCCCGTCCTTTCGTCCAGTCGACCGGGTGTTGAGCTTGCGGCGAGTGTTCTGCGCTGTTTTGGCGCATTTTATGGCATTTAATTGGACATTTCTTCACTCAAAGCAGATTGCACACTCATCACAGTTCTAATTTGTGTCTGAATTAGACTGCTCGCTGCTGCTGCTGTTGTCGTTGTTGTTGTTGTTGCTCTTGCTGGCATTTTATGATTTGATTCGCGGAAATTATTATTTCATGATTTGAAGTGCTTTGCTTTGTGTAAGACACAAAAGAACAACTGCACCTGGCGGCCATTGGGGGCACAACCCTATATCTCTATCCGACACACACTACAGACTATATGTCTGTACTCGTGTATGCAGTTGTGCAGCAGTAATCTGAGGGACAATTTCTTGGGATTTAAGATTTAAGCAAACTGCGTCTTCCATAACTGGTAGGATGGAACAGTTGTTGGTTGAGCTTATCGTTTAACTGATAAGCTTTATTTTATTAAATCGGCACTAGATAAAATTGTTCTGCCTTTTAAATTAGAACAAGCTTTGGCTTCCAAAACTGGAAGGACAGCAAAAATGTTGGGTGACCTAAACGTTTAGAAGACGAAAGGAGACATCATCATGTGGAAGTTTTTTCGCTACTTTATTGAAGCCCATCGAATATTGCATATCATTTAATATTAGATTAGATTAGGGAGGGAGGACCAAAGGGGAAGTACTCCTACACAAAATTTTCACTGTTCGGCTTCCAACTTTACATTGACTTCGGTTCGTAGCACTTAATGCTATACTTGTAGGTATTGTGTTCGTATTACAGAAGGGGCTAGTGTAAGCGGCACGCTGTTAGGCGGCTGTTAACTAACAGATGTTAGACTAACATTCATATGTAAACTAACGGCTGTGCAGAGCGCTGCTAAGCCTACAATTAGTTTTTGTGTTAAAGGAACTCTAAAATCTTTCTTTAGTCTACACCATTGCCTGCTTTAACTGGTTAGTGCTCGGAATGAATCAAGGAATAGTTCCTTTAGTAAGCATTTTAGTCAATTCGAAGCGAATACTACGTACTAGCACTTTCCTACAGGATCCAAGAGCAAGTCGATCGGCTGGATTGTCAGACTTAGATTAGCGAGCGCTCTTCCATATCGGTGGCTTTGTATGTAAATGTCCGATGTTTATAGATTCGTGCTTGCGTCTGTCCAGCCTTGAGCCATCTACACATCTAGACTTCGTATTCGTTTGCAAGTTAGATGTCTTTAACTACTAAATTTCTATACTGATGCAGTTTTGCAGTTTTGGTTGTTGTTGCCGAAATAAATTTCTAAATGCTCGAGTTTGTTTCATTAAATTATTTAATTTGGTTTATTTTAGGTTTTTGTTTTCCAGGTATTCATAACTAGTAAATAGAGGGGTTTACCAAATTGTTATTATTTATTATTTAGTTATAATATGTTGTCTGGTTTTTCAGTCATACTTGTAGTATTAATAATATAAGAAAAATTAATTGAATAAATGGTTTCCAGTTGCAATTCACATATCAACTAAACTATGATTCTATTACTAAGTATGATTCTAAGTACTTAGATTACTTAAATGGATGCCTACTACATACATATTAAACCAGTGTCAATAAGATGGCAAGGTTGATGATTCAAGCATTGCAGATTAATTGTAATTTTCTTGACTGTTGCTCAAGCTTACGCAAAACTTATTCCCATTGCCTGTCTGGTCCCCCACATGGCTGCGCTTCGAATAGGCTGTTCCAGTCCTTTACTCAGCCAAGGATGAAAATCAGTCTGTCTTTTAAACAGCCACTGATGTTGTAATTAGCAGATCAAGTGGGCATGGCTAATCGATTTTGTGTAACCACCACCGTCAGCATCGAAATATATGTATGCACTACAAGCAGCCATCAGTTTTTGCTTGTCCTGGGAGGGTTGAGTGTACGGGCTAGAGGGGTGGCTGGTACAACTGTGGTTTAGTGTAATAGACCCGAAATATATGGTAACTGATAAGTGCAATTAATAATTTTGACCTTTTCAAGTTCACGCCACTACTGGTCTTCATACATACACATACGAATAGTCGTAGTTTAAGGCGCGTCAGCTGTGAGAGTTACCCTCGTTTTTGTTTTTGAACTATTTCTGACTCTGACCGCCGCTCACAAAAATTATGAAAATTGTTTTAATTTTTCTTCCCACTCGTTTGCAGCCTGAAACCGCCGCCCAAGGATGGCGTCACAAAGAGCAATCCATCAAAACGCCATCGTGAGCGTCTGAATGCGGAGTTGGATCTGCTGGCATCGTTGCTGCCCTTCGAGCAGAATATACTAAGCAAATTGGATCGACTGAGCATACTAAGGCTGTCCGTTAGTTATTTAAGAACCAAAAGTTATTTTCAAGGTGAGTGCTCCTCATTATGATAAAGCAACTAGAGAGAACTTTAAACGCCCTATTTTTTTATTATTTATTTACCTGTATATGTGCCTTTATGTGCGAGTTGAAAGCTAAGGCAAGCCGCCCATATGCAAGGCCCCTCGAGCTGAACTGAGCTCAGCTGTGCTGGGGCTGGGGTTGGGGTTGGGTTGGGAGTTGGGGTTTTTGTAGGGTGGGGCCGCCATACGGTGTGTTACATTCCGGCCTATTAAATCGATTATGCTGTGGACTGGGCAGGATGTGCGATGTGCAGACGCTCTGTAGTACCCGAAGGCAGACCCTAAACATGACTCATAAATGATTCAAAACTAATTTCAACGCCGCGACGGGGGCTCGAGGGTTCTCGGACACACACACACACACACACACGCACGTGGCAGAATTAGTGCCGTTGACGGATTAAAACAAGTCGAAATGAAGAGAAACAGCCAGAGAAACAACAACACGAGCAAACGAGACTAAAACAAAGAACAGCGCACAGTTCTGCCTTTCTTTCTATGCTAAATGAATTAAAGGTGCGTTATCCTTGCCTCGAACGCGCAAGGGGAGAACGCTATTTTGTGTTTTATTTTTGGGTAAGGACGAACAGCCAGGCAGACAGACAGAAGGTAAAAGTAAAGGTAAATCAAATTATGTGTGCGTATGTATATGGTAGTGGGTATTGAGTGTGTCCGTTTGGTATAACATATGTACTTTTTCTCCCAAGGGCTCTGAGCACGGCGCTCTGTCTAGAATTGGGGTTTAGTCTGGTCCTTTCGTTTAAATTCCATTCAGTCAAATGGCAGTTGTTGGCAAGCAGCTGGCCGAACGAAGCATGTAATACCCAATAATTCCAGCCAAAATTAATTTAGTTGGCCTGAGAAAGAGTGCAAATCTGCAAGGTAACTCCTTCTTGATGCAAAGAGGATATCTTTCAAAGATCGCCAACAATAAGGCCTATTGATACCAAGCGCTAGTCTGGATGGGAATCAGCAGTTGACTAGGAAGGTTAAACGTGAATTAAGCGATTGTTTCATTAATAAATTATGTAATTCCCGCTTTCGAGAATAGGATATCTGTCCCACTCTTATCCTTACAAGTTCAGTTCGCGATAGAATAGAATGCAAAGCAAAGTCGTCCTTCGTTAGACTGAATAGAATCTTTAACTCTTATACTTTACAAATATATATTTTATTTACCGATATCGCTAAGGCGCCTCCATCTGGGAGGTACATACATATGTACATTTGTTTACAAGTTTATTCTTTCCTAAATTGACAACAATTTGATGTATGATCGAACAAACAAACTTGTTTACAAAATAAGTCGATGCAGCCATGAGGGTCTCTGCAACTGAGAGCTGATCAGTAACTTCAAAAACCTTGAACTCTTTGTAAACCATCTATTAAAGCATGTGCCATGTGCCATCTTCTTGGGAAGGGTATAGATACATTCCGAAGTTTTAATCTATTTTGCGGCTTTGATATATCCGTCAGAATTAATAGCAAAACACAAGTTGCATGTTGAAAGTATTCGTAACACACGCACACCCAAGCCCATACACTGACCACAAAATACAAACATATTAGTATATATGTATACATATTTATGCATTTTTATCGACCGTTCTTATCATCGATAAAGAGCAATTGTTCTATATATGTAATAGAAGATGCTGGCAAAACTCCAAGGTAAGTCCATCACTGTTCTTCTGAATTGCATTCCGCTTCATAAAATAAATTGGCGTGAAACGGATCGACAGTTCATCTGAGGTGCAGCAACTCCGGGCTCAGTTAGTCGAGTTTCAGACAAAATCTATGTGCGAGCTGGACCTCAGAGACTCGGGCAAGGATCTATTAAGACTGGGGCACCCACAGAGTCCGACACGTACAATCATGCGACACATCCAGCGCGGAGAACTCTGTGACATTACGGTCAGGGTGCATGGACGAGAGTTTCTGTGCCACAACATTGTGCTCTTCATTTACTCTAAACGCATGCAGCGTCATGTGGGCAAAATTATGGCCACCACCGATTCGCCAAACATAACGGCACGAGGATTTGGACTGCTCTACACTTGGATGATAACAGATGGGGCTACTCTTCATGCTGGGGATGTCATTGAAACCATGCAGGCTGCGCTATTCATGGAGGTTCACCCGCTTTTGGAGCAATGCTGGAACGTGCTGGACAGTCGGCTCTTTAATGAGTTCTCGGCCTTTAGTGTGCTCTACGAGTCCCGACGAGCTCATGAGCTGATTGAGTTGCATGAACTAATGGCGAACCGCATCTCAAAGGCCACGCTCATGATCTTTTCTAGTCGGGAGTTTTTGTGTCTTAGTGAGCTGCAGGTGTGCAACTTATTGAAGTCAAATAACTTGGCCGTTAATGCGGAAATGGAGGTGAGAATATGAAAGAGCTAATATCAGAACAAAATCAGGTCTTTTTGCATCGAAATACGAGTGATTTTTTTGAGAGAAGAGTACATTACAAAAGCAGTGCCATTACTAGAAGAAGACGAAAGACTTTTTCTTACTAGTCTACTTTACACCTCTCGCAATCTTTTCTCTGAAATTTTCAATTTAGTTAGCACATGCTAATCCCTCTCTGAACCCTTTTTATACCCTGTACCCGTAGGGTAAAAAGGGTATATTAGCATTGTGCAAAGTATGTAACAGGCAGAAGAAAGCATCTCCGACCCCATAAAGTATATACAAGTATATTTTGAATCAGCATGCCGAGAGAAATCGATCTAGACATGCCCGTTCGTCCGTCTGTCTGGATGAACGCCTGGATTTCGGAAACGGCTGAGCGTGCATAAGCCAAACTTGGTATGCAGACGCTCCTAGTCCCTAGTCTATAGGAGTTTATTTTACTTTTTTTGATTTCCGCTCCCCTCTCTCCGCTACAGAATTTCGTCAATACTGTCCACATTTCCAAAGCTACATCAACTAAACTACGCGTAATCTATATACAATTGTCTACTTCTGTTCCAAATTTGATCCAAATCGGTTAATTCTAAGATTAGCGAATCAATTTCTGTCCAGTACTACGCCCACAAACTGCAGCATCAAGTTCGCTCTTCTTCTCAGTCTCGGAAGTTTCACTGTCGGACTTACTCGACTGTAGCGTTCTCTCTGGTTCATAATAGGTACTATTCGGCGCACTCATCTGGCTAGATCACATGTGGCCACGGCGTCGCAGGAGCATAATGACTGTGATGCAACACATCCGATTCGGCTACTTGGCACCCACCTTACTGTGCAAGTTCAAGACCAACGACGAGTATAGGGTCGGGCCATTCGCGCACATACTGGGCGTGTTCATAGACGCTATTGATGTAGCCCGACTTGTACAAGATGCCCTCTTCTATAGCAGCATGGTCATTACCAGTAATAATGATCCGGTCTTTCTGGAGAATAGCATAAGAGGCGCGCAGCTACCTATAGTGCCGCCAAGGCGGTGGATAGTTGATCGGCGGTGCAAATATCATCGAAGAGTGTCTAGACTGTGTCCCAATATGCATTATGTCAGCATTGAAGATTTCTCCGAGTACCTAGGCCAACTTCAGACCTGTACCAGCGATTTTGATCGTCACATGTCCTTTGGGGATACTACTTCGGTGCCAGTGCCAGACTGGAAGACTCCAAAGCTATTAAGCCAGTTTCAGCTGAACAAAGAACTGCTCGATCTGCACGAGAAGCGGTACGGTTCCGGGACAAAGAACAAAAAGCGTGTGAGTAAGACGAAGCATATGAGGAAACATGGCCACAGAAGGAAGAATCGTCGGAAGAACACAGACATTTTGCCAGCGGAAGATAACATAGATTATTGGGAGCATACATTAAGGACGGCAAAAAGTTGGAACACTGATAGTCAAGTTAGCAGCGGTGATGTAATTAATGTCCATGGATTAATGGAAATGCTGAAATGTTCCCAAACTAACAAAATAGCAGAAAAAAACAAACAGAAATTTGGGCAATGAGAAAGGCTGCCTTGCTCATTAAGCTTCAGTTTAAACGAAAAGCTATTCAGTACAATAAAGATAAAAGCAATCCAAACAATAAAAAATACGTGGACTTAAATAAGGATGGGGCTTTCTTAGGGGGTGTATAGTCGAAATCCTTTGCATCGATTATACACATATTTGTTCAAAAACATACTTATTGCTGCTTACATGGAAAAATAATTCCATTTCTGAATTGAATTTCTGCATGTGATAGAAATGTAGCCCCTACTTAGACCTCTTAAAGAGTCTCACGAAACTTTTTAAAGCTCCATCTCACTTGGATGGTATTGATTGAAGTACAATCGAAAAGTCTTAGCCCATTCCGTCCTTTGCACGAAATGCTTGCAGTTAGTGCTAGAGTTAAATAAAATTAAAATTAATTAAAACAATGCATTAAAAAGGCCCAAGCTGAGGCTCGAGCTTCCGAGTTTCACTTGATGGCTTTATTATCGACGCGGCCATTGGCATTTTGCTTTGTTTTACGACAATTTTAATTGCTTCATTACTCAAAACTCAAAGAGTGAGGCGGAAGGACGAGAACGTTAATTAAGTTTAAGTGCAAAATTGAAACGTAAACGAAGCCAAACGCAAAAGGCCGCTGCAAATAATGACGAATGAATAAATGAGTGAGCAAAAGAATTTCAAGTCCCACACCGTTCACCACCACCCACCCACATATACCTACATATATAGCTGACAGTTTTATGCGTCTTTGTCACAGGACTAGCGGTCATTCAGGTTCACGTGCCCACAGGGCCTGTGTCAGACGCTTAGAGGCACATCTTGTGGCCGTCAACCAAAAATCTATGCACTGGAAAAAATTAGAAAACATAAATAAAGGAACACCTAATTCAGAAATTATTTACAAAACGTAGTTTCTATTTCTTCAATAAAACAACATTTTAGATTCAGCTTCGTTGTTCAGTAGGTCGTAGCGATTTGCGATTTGTGATCGATCATTACTGATTTCACCTGCTGAACGCTGTGATTCAGACAAATAAAAATGTCAATCGAAATCACAAAACACAAATCGGGAAAATATTACGATGACCTAATTTAGATTTTTCGAATTTGACACTACATAGCCGGAATTTGGGCGAGACCTTTGCGGAAATATATAAAATGGCAAAATACACCCCAGCAAGCTGTGACTTTTTGACCAAAAATACTAAAATCAGAATATTTTATTAAAACAGTCAGGTTGTCATCACAAGCGGTCGGCAGAGGCAAATCAACAATCGATAATCAAAAATCACAAATCGCAAATCGCTTTTTTTTAAACCATTTAAAATACTGTTGACGTATCAAAGCACTCAGGAAAAATTCGAAATAAGCTGAGGACTACCGATTATTTATGTTCCCCATTTTATCAAATTAATTAGCCATGAGTTCCGTGAGACAAATTTAAAGTATTTGGAACTGGTTCTTAAGAGACAGAACTGTTAATATCTTAATTAATGTCATTGAGTTGTTAATTGTCGTTGCGATTAAAGAACGAACCAGTCAGCTAAAAAATATTATTAATATATTATTAATAAATTACTTACCTTTACTTCTTAAGCTACATTTTATGCCAGAGTAAAATATTTTTAATTTGATGTTTTATTATTGTAACATTTAGAGAGGACTAGACAATATTTACATTGTCATTCTAAATTTATTTTTGTTTTCAAAACATAATCGGCGAATCTATAAAAATAAATTTTTAAAAACTCTAGTGAACGCTGTATATTTCTGAGTTTTCTTCTGTTCTTCAAACGATGCACTACGTTGGTCAAGTAAATAAGATCGTAAGCCTTTCAGTAACAGTGTCTTTCAATGGTTAAGTAATGTCATCTTGCTAAAATTTTGATGGCATTTCTGGAATATTTGATTAAAATATTAAAATCAAAATATGTACAGATATGAATTAGAAATCTTATTTGAATAGAGAGGCGATGGATATATACACGTACCTTGCTAGATAGTTTGTTTTCTTGGATGTGCCTTGAAAAACATGAGAAACTCGAGAATCGTGGAATAAGGATATTTTTGGAATATCTGATCAATTTTGCAGGATTTTGAACAACATGAGCTGAGTTGCTGCGGCTTCGTAGATATTTGAATAGGCTGGAATATTAACGATGCCATTTCGTGCTACGAGAATAATAAGTGTTTGGTAGAAATTGGAGCTGGAAGAAGATGCATTGATTTAGAAGGAAAGATTATTTAAGAAATTAAAGCACAGCTGAATGGCGAAAAAGTTGAACTCTTTGTGGACTGTTTGAGCTTGTGCATTAAATAAAGTTCAAAAGCCACAGAAGATCCATTTATGTTATAGTCAGACAGGCAAATAATTTGCATTTAATGGAATTTATTGCACTATCGAAAGTGAATTTCAAATAGTTGAAAATTGTCCTTTTGTATAGCTATTGTATTTTGGGAAAAGAAATTTGCTTGTATGACCATAGGGACCATATATATAGTAAGTATATCTGTATACCTGCACAGCGTTGTTCTCATAAGTAGTTGGTATTAGTGTCCGAATTTCTGGAAATCCCACTCCCTATTGTCCAATGGACAAACACGATGGGTTTTCAGCCACCGCGAGATGCAGTGGAAATGGAAGGCATGGTTGCAGGCGCCCCAGGCAGCAGTGCAGTCCTCGTTGCTGGTGGAGGCCTGATTGGCCTGGCACTCGATGCAAGGCTCCATAATGTGGTTGCGGCAAATGGCGCAATTGTCGACCACTATGTCCCAGGCCCAGAGCGCCACAGCACTCCATTTCTTGACCACGAATCGATTCAGTTGACCATTGTCGCTGTCGACTGACATATTCGTATCGTAATCTTCCTCATCGACCTCCATTTTAAAGTGTGTTTTATATTTGCACTTCAAATCTCACGCAATTCACACTTTTCTGATTTATTTTCCTTGATGTCGGAATCACAGCCTCAAATAAAATGCCTTTGAATATTTTTGAAATGAGAAACTGAAACTTCAAAGCATACCCTTTTTTCTCTGCGTGTATAGAGCACTACCTACAACACTTAAGTAAATATTTTGACAATTAGCGGTCAAGCGAAGTTCGGCGTTAATTGCAACGGCAAACTGGCCCCAGACGGCACGTGTCGGACGCATTGTGAAAAGTCAATATAAACATTAGTTTCCTTAAGCTGCTGTGACTATTATTGTTGTTTTTGTTGGTGTTGTTGTTACTGCTGCATTGAAATCCACTCAGAAACTGGCGCACAAATCAAACGACGCCGCCACGCGCTACGTTTCCTTTGCACATTTCATTTGTTTGCCTTTCGCAGGACTCGAGCTCGGACTCAGACTCGAACCCGACTCGGAGCCGTAATGAACTCATGTGCTGGCCACGACGGGTTAATGGACCAGAACGGTTGCGGCGTGTGCGCCGGTGAGTGGCGACCCTATAGAGGCTTTCCTTGTGCCCGCGCGGGGTTGACAAAACGTCATCGTCGTCGTCGTCGTCGTCGAATTCGTCGGCCAGAGGTCAATGTTTGTTTTTGTTTGGTTTTATTTGTTTGCCTAGATGTTTTCGGATATTATCAGGATCATTTAATTTACAATTAGTGAGTGTTTGTGTGTGTATGTGTGTGTGTGTGTAGTGGACATTTCTTTTGGCCTCTAACTTTGACCATTCATGGCGTGTGCCGGTTTCTCTGGCATTGCTTGGACGAGCGAACCAGCAGCGGAAGTACTTTATGCGATTAATTGATTAGTGTCTGCTAAGCAGGGGAAGGTTAACTGAGAGCTTATAACCGATATACTCGTAGGTAAATGTTGAACTAACTCATTGTCATAACAACTAAGCTGAGAGCTATAAGAGATTAGTCTTTGTACGAAAAAGTACTTTAAGTGCAGTTTCAAAGTATAGGTTGCCCAGCTAGTTTTTCAAACTTAGGTTCAGTTGGACTTAAAAATGTTAACATACTTACTTAAGGTAGTCTTTTTTGTGATAAAAAAGTCAACCATTCGAATTATATCATTGTATAAGTAATGCGATTTTGGAAATTATATAAAGTATACATATATTCGGTAACTATTCATGGCAATTTTTTTTTCATTTATAAGCTGCTTGTGTTGTTCTTGCCCTTCAAATCAAACTTGTACCGGAATGTTGGTGCTAGCCTTAGCCTATCGAGAGTCAAGATACTACATACATACAATATATCTACTAGAATGACAAATAACTTGCGTTTATAAGGATTTCCGCATTTATCGTACAATTCTTAAAATAAGAAATAAATATGATAATCACATTTATAATATTAGAAATACAATACGTATACAGAGCTATTTTTAATAATAAATGAAAAATTAAATGCAAATGTAACTTAAATAAAAAAAAAATAATTATAATTACCATATATATATGCACATCTTTAAAGAATATAAATTAAAATAATATACTTTTAATAATAATGATAATTTTACCAAGTATAATTAAATTGTTGTCCATGGGAATGCTTTCTTGGTACTTGCATTATTTTGTAAAGTTTTTTTTTTTAAATGAAAAATGTTAAGAATGGAATTTTGTCAGTTTAAGCTCAACTATGTAGGGCTCGGAGCTAACTGCGGCATTCAATTAGGTGCAGTGCAACACCAACACCAACAACAACAACCACAACAACAAGTGCAGCCATTCATTGCAAACTTTTGTGGCAACAATGAAGCGTGCAATTTGTCTAACGCTCCAAGGCTCTCCCAAGAACAATTCAGCAATACTATAGAGAGAAGCATTCATATGTATGTATCTAAATTATAGCTGGCTATGTATGTGTGTGTTTGTGTATATATCTTATATACAAACAGATATACGTACATTTACAGATATAAGCTATACACATGAAATGGGACACAGGGGGTTGCTCTGCAGACAGCACACGAGCTGCCAACAACAGCAGCAATAAGCAGAAAGGCTCTTCTCTATCTAGGGGCAGTTGACCCTGACTTGCGCAAAACGCTAAGAAATACACACACTCACACACACACTTACATATATATGTACATCTAAACATATGTTTGTATATAGTCTCGCGTAGTGGCAAACGAAACAAAAATTCTGTACACCAAAGCGTAGCCGAAGTTCGTTTTCATTTGTGCCATCCACCCACGTTTTTTTCTATATATCGCATACCACTATATACATATATAGTACATTCCCATATACATACCTACACACATATGTATGTATGTATGTACAAATGTATCGGCTTATATACATAAGCTACAACAGCTTATGTAAAATGCAACGTTTTAGCATTTTCTGTTTTATTTTTTTTTTCGGTTTAGTTTGGTTTTGCGCTTCAAACTAAATAATTAAAGCGCGCTGCTAATGGCCCATTGTCTTGCCTTAATAGAGAGGGACCGGGGGTGGGGCTGGGTCGGGGGCAGAGGAAAGCACAGAGGCGAGGGTGGCGGCTGGTGGGCCGCATGGTTTGCTGACTTGGCACAACGACGCGTTCATATCTAAACGGCCATAATTGCGAGCCAAGTAGCGGCGCCTTCGCCTTATGGCTGGCAATAATTGTTAAGACGCGCAATTTGTACATTTTTAATGCAACGGTTGTTGTTGCTGTTGTTGTTGTCGTTGCTGTAAGGGTGTGCAGACGTGTAAAGGCTCTGGGAGTGCCCAAAGGTTGCCCCCTTAATTGATGGGTTGCGTAATTAACTGCAAAAAGAAAAGAGAAGCAAAAACAAAAAATGAAAGTATTGTGTTCAATTGGCGGGGCTGTTACAACCAGTTGTCTAATGCCAGACTTTTATGTCTCTGGATTGATTACAATATAACCATAATTCTTAGTTAGTGGTTAGTTTGTATTACTATTCTCTCAGTTTATTGCCACATGAATATTTCCTCCACTAAGTTCGACATATAAACTTTTCTAAACGGGCAGTTTGCCAAGCACATTAAATGGACTGCCCAACGGCTAACATTGTTTTCCGTTTTGTTAAAGTTAAATGGCTACTATAAATAGTAAGTTATAAAATTGATTACCAATAATAATGGAAATTGATATTTTATATCAATGGCATACTTAAAGAAAGTTGTCAGAACAATGAAACTCTTTACTAGCATTTTTGTTCAATTTACTAAACAGGAATCACTTAATTTAATTGTTGTTCCATTTAAATTTCCCAATTATGTTAAAGCTTCCAATCCTTCCGACTGTTTATGTGAGATATAAAATTTTATTTAATTGTTGTTCTATTTAAATTTCAACATTTGTTAAAGCTTTCAATCCAATCGGCTGTTTATGTGATCAAATAAAATTTTATTTATCTGTCCTACAACGTTTAGAACAAAGTTAACTGGTTTTTTGGAATAAAACATGTGCTAGCGCTAGTTGTACTTTTTTGACTGATTGGTTGGGAAAGGACATTCTATACCGACTTCGATTAAAAATTTAATAACATTTGCTTCAATAGAAGCGGAGTTATCATCGGTACATTGAACAAAGTGAACAACTCTGTAAAAGTATTACCAAAATGTTTCAAATTATGAAGCGGAATACGTGACTAATTTAATATCCGGATAAAATGAGGCACGACTTATTAAAATTCTGCTTCTACTTCTGAAATTATAATTAACTTTCCAATTCCTTTTTTTTGTTGGTAATCTGCCTACTTTTACGCTCCAGGATACAACTGCGTTCAAGCTATGGTCTTTTAAAATAGTACATACAAAATGTTTATAATCAATGACATACATAAATATTTATAAACATTTCTTAATAATTTATAGCACGAATCATAGAAATATAATAAATTATAATTATTTTTTGTAACAAAGCAAAAAAAGCCAAAGGGAGTATTTTTGTTTTTTTTTTACGGTCTTTTGGAGTGTTGGAATATGTCAATATTTTTGATGTTGATATTACTCAATTTAATTTAATTTATTTTTAATAAATGTTTACAAAAATGTGTGCTTAGAAGCTACCCATAGAAATTTGTTAGCAATTATAATCTCCTTCTCTTGAATAGAATTGAGTAATTGCTTAAAGATTTTCTAAAAAAGGTAAAATGTTTATGGCTAAGGAAATTAGCTTTGAATTGAATTCGGGTTGTCAACGATGTGATGGCTTTGTGTGAACAATTTTGGATTTATTTGTGAGTACGGTTCCCATGAAAAGCAGTTCAGCACTCGATTCGATGTGAGGCCTGAAGAGTCGGGCTTCTGCAGAGTGCACTGGAAAAATGCGCGTTGGTTGCTTGCCAACTACAACGAACCAGAGTTCCCACACACCATTCAAATATGTTTTTAATACCTATATGGCGAATTCGCCAACAAATCATGTCGGCATTGCTTCACTCAACCTGTCTGGTTAGTCAGTCTTGGGCGACCTGCCTTGGGACGTGGGAAAGAACACAAAAGCTCAAAGTAATTTCCATGCAGCTGCCGCAGCCGATGCCGCAGCCGCTGCCTCGAATGCAGACGCAACTAAGCATATTATAAAATATAGGCTCAAACATACCAGCAAGCATATATATACCATAAGTAGATAGTATATAGTTTCTCTATACTTGTATATAGAGAGCCAGTGTGTAAAGTTAAGTAGCATTAAGCTGGTCTCAGGCGGGACTCTGCCACTTTTTCTAAGCAAGTGCAGCGCAAGGTCACTTGGTCAGCATAAACATAAACATTGAAATTATGGCAAGTATTTATGTTATTATACCGAAATTACAGTTAAGTGTTGTTAAACGTGTCTGCTGTGCTTTGGTTGTTGCTTTGAAGTTGTTGGGGCCAAGGCTTAGTTCTTAACCCATAAACATACTAAGCCCGCCAATTTTCGTACCTGACTTTCGTGCGTTGCTCCAGTTTAGGCCGCGGCCGCGGCGGTGGCGGCGACCCATTAGGGCTCGTCGTCAGAC